ATATGTAAAATAAGTAAATACAGTGAACAAATAATAGAGTAAGTTTAATGAACTATAATACAGTAGCCGAAATGAATTGTACATTATACGACTTGATTAAAGCAGAACTACTTGATAGCTCAAAATTATCAGCATTTTTAAATTTTGATAATTTTTGTACAAGCTACTGCCATATCTTTGATAAACATCATGTCAGTTATTTATCATATATTATGTCCATTACAGACAGCCATTATTATCGTAATTAAATTTTTTTATTTGAAATTTTAATTTCCTTAAAAGGTTATATTTTGTGATAGGTTCACCGAACATACCTTTGAATGCAAAAAGGTCGATTGATGAAGATCATCGTGGTGAAATGAATGAGTATGATGTACAGAAACGGATCAAAAGACCGATGAATGCTTTCATGGTTTCTTCTTTCAAATAATCATTTCTTATAAAAAATTTTGCATGTAATTTTTAACATAATGATAAAAGCCCATCACTTATTGTAAATAAATTTCACGTAAATATAAATGTGTCTGAAAGTTATTTTTTTGTCTGTTCGAGAATTGCAAAAAACATGAAAAATGAAAATAAAATATAAACAAATAAAAATAATAGTTAAAATGCTAGTGAGTGTAAATAATTATGAATAGATAAATGTGCTGAATATATAATTAATTTGTTAATTTTTACAAACTATTTCTTGATAATATTAAATTTTGTACATTATACTTGAATAGTTTAAATCATCATTTAGCAATAGTAATGATAATAAAAATAGTAATAATAATAATAATAATAATAATAACAGTAATAATAACTATAATAATAATAATTGTAATAATAATCAGTAATTAATGATAATAATAACAATGAAATAATTGTAACTTTTTAATGAATCATTTCGACAGGCATTTAAAATTTGAATTTTTGACATATCTTTTTTTTAAAGGTATGGTCTCAAATGCGTCGAGCACAAATTGCTAGCACAGATGTAAAAATGCACAATTCACAGATTAGCAAAGAATTGGGTGCTGAATGGAGGGAAATGAGCGCTGAAGAAAAGGCACCATATGTTAAACGGGTTTGTTCTCTTTCTTCTTTTGTTGTTTAATATTTAATAAAAAAAAAAAAAAATTGAAATAGCTGGAGAAGAAATGAAAAGAGAGAAATTTCATCAGCTAATTTTATTTTTCTTTTTTGAATTCAAATCCTTCTTTCTCTCAAAAATTTAATTTATTTTGAATAAAGAAGAAATAATTTGAAATTTTTCCTCAAGTTCTTTTTTCTTCTCAAAAATTATTTTTATTTATTTCTTCATTTATTGTTTTACTATTGTTTACTACTATTATTTATTGTTTGCTATTGTTTATTATTATTTATTTACTTTTTTGTTTATTTACTTGTGTATGTATATATTTGCTTATTTGTTTATTTATTTACTTATTGTCTATCATTTATTATTGTTAACCATTGGTTAATATTAGTATTAATTATTAATTACCAATTACTGTTTATTACTATCACTGTTAATGGAAGAAACCGTTCATTTATTTCTTTTTTCTTTGTTATTTTTTTACCTTTCGTTTATATATTTTATTTATCTTTTTTGTTAGGCTAAAGAATTACGGGAAGAATTAATGCGTCGTCATCCAAATTATGTTTATCGTCCAAAACGTCGTTCACATGGTGCGACAAAGAATTTGTTGACCAAAACATGTGCAATGATACTTCCGACAACAACAACAGCAGCAACAACAACTGGTCCGTCAATGCTACCATCGTCATTTGAACAAAGGTACCATTTCATTTTGCACTTTTTTTTTCATGCAATTTGTTTTTAAATATTTCCTATGCATTAATGTTATGAAATAATTATGATATCAAAATTTGGTCTCAGATGTTTTATCATTATCTGATTATTGTTTTTAGCCGTCTGCTTTGTAAAATTTCATTTCAAAAAATTAATAAAAAAAAAGAATTATTAAAATTAATGAAAACTTTTGTACGTACTTTGCTGTTATTGTTGTTGTTTCATTTTGATCGGAATTCTTTACCATTTCCATTACTGCAACTCTTGCCTTTCATATTTTCTTTTTTTCCCTTTTTTGATAATTTGTTTGATTGATGTAATAAAAAAGAAGAGAAATGCAATTTGTTACAGTGTGCTTAATTAAAGTTAATTGATACAATACTAGTTGCATTTTGCAAATTATCATCCATTTTAATCAATTTTGAAGTAGGTCAAATCAACGAGATGGGAGTGATTATGAAAGCTTCTAATTCATTCATTATTAATTAGTAAAAAGTCCAGGTTAATCAATCTTTTATATATAGTTGTTGTTTTCTCTAGACAATCCTTCGATGTCGATTTCTAATAGATTTATTTGAATTTTAATAACATTCTCTTCCATCTCCTTTTGTTCTTATAATTTGCTTTTTTTTTTGTTATATCGCTTCTTTTGCTTGGAAACCTTTATTAAATAATTTTTTGATTATGAAAAGTTTTCGGAAATATTTTCGTATCATTTGATAAAATGTTACTTTTGTCATTTCATTTCATTTACCGCATATGCGATATAAATAATTATTGAATTAGGTGTAATAATATAATCTTTACAAATGTAAATTTCGATCAACTAAAATATAGTTTAAGTATTAATCAACTTAATTAAATTATTATTAATATTTTTATTGTTACTATTTCAAATGTAATGTTTTTTTATTAATCTTTGTATAATTTGTCATTACATTATCGTTACTGTTTTTTTTTAAGATAAGTATGATTTACTATTTTGCAGATCGCATTCGTTATCATCAATTCCAACAGCTCATGATATTAGACGATTTTTTATAGCTCGGGTAATGCAGGAACAGCAAAACAATATGTTATTAGCTGCATATCGTAATCATTTACTTGCAGCTGCTACAAATACCACCTCTGCTGCACCTTTAAAAGATTCTGCTACTTTGGATTGTGTTGATCAAGAGGTTAATATGAAATTTATCTTTTTTTCTTTTTTCACTTTTTTTAATTTGTATTTCGGTTTTTGCTCCTTTTTCTAAAACTCACAACTGAATTTATATGTTTTTTCTTTTAAATTTAAAATGAATTAATTACAGATCACTTTGATATTTTCTGTCTAATACTTATTATCATGACTGTCAATTTCTTTCTTTAATAAATTATGATTACCAAGAATTTTTTTTTAAAATATTTGTTGAAAGAAAAATGATAACAATTATATATTTATATTTTTTTGCAATTATATATTTGTTAAACAAATTAATACATTGATCGCTTATTAGCAACTTTTTTTCTCTTTTTTTACACAAATATTTTAATTAGTTTAAGGTTTTGTTAAATTTTAGTGCAAATTTCTCACTCATTGCAGAAATTACAATCAGCAATGGGAAATATTACAACGGGTAATAGTACTGCTAGTAGTGGCATATCAATGACAACCGAACAATTTAATCCGATTTCATCGTTGTCCATGTTACAGTCACCATACAATCCGATTAGTCCATTACTTGGTTCACAGTTTAATCCATTTTTATTTAGTTAATTAATTTCTTCCTTAATTAACAGGGTATTTTTCTAACCTCTCCATTAATTGTAAAATAAAAAACGACGATAAAAAGGAGAAAAAGAAAAGGAAAAGAAGGAAGTTTTATTATATTGTTTAGGGTCAAGTGTATTTATTGTTGTATGTATATTTTCATTGTATGTTCTATTTTTGTTTATTTGTTTGTTTACATCCTGAATTTTGCTTTCTTTTTTTCCCTCTCACATTGTAGTGAATAAAAGGCTAGCATTTAATTAATAATATTAGCTTACTAAACATATATTATTATTTTTATGAATTATTCACAATGAAATAATTCATATTATATTGTTATTTTTTAATTCTGTATTAATTTTTTTTTTTTTTTTTGAGAAATATGAATAATACTTATAGGATTAAATATTAATAGCAATAATTGTAACAGTAAATGATTATGATGTATAATAGACATACGTTATATATGTATGTACAATATATGTCGTGCACGTATATAAAAGGAAAAATACACTTGACCATTAGCTTTTTGCATTTTTTCTCCTTTATGTTTATTAAAATATTTTGCATTATTATTGTGACGTATTTTGCTTCATATTAGAAATTGAATTCATATTAGTTTGAATTCTTAAATGATAGCATATGAAAAAATTATAATTAAAATTTGCATTTAAATTTGCAGATAATAAAGATTTTTGTTTCAACAAATTTTTCTTAAATTTAGAGGAATATTATAGTTTATATTGTAATGGATAGTTTATTTGTTTGATGCTGTAGGAATAGTCTATAGTTGATATGTAGGGAGAGGGAAAAGTATAAAGAAGAATTTCTTTTTAACTTTACTACTAATGATAAGAAGGTATTACTTTAGTCTGCACCTTCCGTAATATGTAGACAGTATGAAGTTTATATTTGATACTATAGGATGATAAAACTGACTGAAGATTGTATCTGATACTGTAAAAGTATTTTTTAACGGGTAATTATAAGGTGAAACATTAATTTTGATGATTGAATTATTTGCTAACATTTTGAAAATCGTAACAAAAGATGAAACGATCGTATTTCTCGCATGAAAACATTGTTTCACCAAAACCTTTGATATTTTTAATACAATTTTTGCTTTTTTTTTTTTTTTTTTTTTTTCTTGACATTTCTTTGTGCAAAAGTGATTATGTTGTTAAGGATTTTTGCTGATTATTTATCAAATATAAAAATAATATGAATTTATCGCTTCCGCACTTCAGCATACATTAATATTGGTTTGACTAGATTTAACAAGTTTACTATTCTATTTTGTTTCTGTTTATTTCACATGCTTTGTCATTTTTGAAATTGTTAGCGCTAAGGAAAGTTGAAACGATTAATCCAAGTAAGTTATATAAAAAAGAAGTATTATTGTAATTAATTTATTAAATCAAATTTCATATTTTAAGTTTATTTAACCGTTTATTGCTTTAGGACGATAATTTTTGTATCAGAGGCATTTAGTCGTATATGATTTTTGCCACCACAATAAGCAATCATTCCGTCTGTGATGATCACCTAGAAATTTTTATCAATTATTTTGTTGGTGTTATTTCAATGACTGGTGTTTAATAATTTCTATTTAGTGAGAAAAATTGGTTGAAGACATGATTGATTTAAAATATTATCGGGTGATTCATTTATGTTAATATGAAAGAGTGCCAATTAAAGTATGGATTTTATTTACTTGATAATTTAATTCCTATGATTTACTAAAATCAATTCTTTATCTATTTTCTAACTAATGTCAGCATTTTTTACCTCACCTGTATGACATCCCGAAATTGTTGTTTCACATCGGCACAATGTAGGACAATAATACGCGATTTTGGAATTTCGAATTCTGCATTCGAAATTGTCAAATATTTTTTCTGGTTTTCTTTATTAGTTATTTGACAACCTTCGCCAACATATAATTGTACTTTTTTACCCTTAATATATTAATACTAGTCATTGAATATGCTGACAAGAAAATCGTTTATACGGTATTTTGATAAGAGTTAGCGTCAAATTTTGTTAGCATGATTTTGATATTTAGTAATAGTGCAATGAAAATCGACTTTGATACTAGCGTAATTCTGATATTGCTCATTGATGATATCTAGTGATATGTTATAAAATTATCATCAAATCACTTCGAAGAGATAAAAAAAAGTATTTTTGTCTAAATATTGTTGATTAATTTAAAAATTTTAAGATTCAAGCTTGAATTTTAAATTTAAACTTTTTGTCGGATAATTACATCGACAATAATGTTTATATTGATAGGGATGTAAATGGGTAAGGAAGATTGTGCGATAATTGATGTTTGATGATTAAATGTAATAAAGAGCATTGGTACCACTTCTCGAATTACCTTAAATTAGTTAACAGTATTCCTGAAATTTTTACTAAATCAAAATATTTTCATATTTAATTTAAAATAAAAAATTTACAAGAAGGAATAAATTTCAGAGCACTAAAATAACATGCATATATATATGCATACTGGAAAGCATTTAAATGGATAAGAAATAATACTCGCATATAATATCATTGAGTAGTAACCTGAAATGCGTAATAATCAGTTTTCTTTTCTCTTTTCCCGTAATACCATATTGATATGGGTCCTTCTGATATAATTTCATATGAACTCTCACTTGGAACAACCGGGCATTTTAGCAGTTGCAGATTTTGGTTCATTTTGGAAAACATTCTATAAAGTTAAATTCGGAGGAAATTTATTCGCAGTTGTCGGTTACTCAAGTAGTTTTAGGATTAGTTTTAAATTATCGTTTATTATTATTATTATTATTATTATTATTATTATTATTATTATTATTATTATTATTATTATTATTATTATTAAATTATTTATTAAAATGCTCGATGTATAATTATTAGTTATTTAATATGTTATTAGTCCTGCATTACGCATTATAATCAGTTCTTTGATAATTGACAGCTATTTCTATCAGTTATTAGTTTTATTGCGTTATTATCAATTTTATTGATAGGGAAGTATCAATCATTACTCGTCATTACAAACATGTGTAAATCTAAATCCGTTGACAATTATAAACTTAATGAGATCATTATCATAGTAAGCCAATAATTATATCAGTCATCAAATTTAGAATCATTCAGTAACTACTTATATTATCTATGGAAATGAGATCAAAAACTTCAATATACTTAAAAATGCTCAAAATATTACTCCAAATACCTTGATGATATCAGTTGACCGATAAGCTTCTTTGCAATAATTAAAAATGAAAAAAAACAAAACACCGTGTGGAATTTTTTTTTTTAAAAAAAGTATAATAAATATAGTATGATTTAATGTAATGTAATACAATTTAATAAAATATTTTAATGCAAATCTTACTACAAGTACTACAAGTAATATGCATGAAATACTACGTAAGGGGTGTTACTTTCAATTCAATTTATTTCCTTAACATTTCTACTAATCAAAATATTACTTATTATTATTATTATATTGTCAGTTATTAATCATTAATATAAAAGTTACAACTGGCAAGCTTCGGAGACAATCTGAAATTACCAAAGTTATTTTTTATATCTAACTAATGCATATTTGAAAATACTACAAGTAATATGTATGAAATACTACGTAAGGGGTGTCATTTTATGTACAGGATGCATTACATGAGCGTTGTACAGTATATTACGATGCAATCCCATCAATTATACTACTGTAACGGTTATATAACTTTAATCAAAGTACGAAATGTTATGAACAATACAGTATGCTTAAGTGTAATGTGTGACCGTATACATAGATGCAAAACCCTTTTAGCTGAAGCGTCGTTTTATGGCTGTCCTTCATACCATCTTCTGAAAGTTTATGGCCAAATTAAAAATTGATTTTCTTTTTTTTTTTTTAAGTTCAGTTATATTTTTTTTAAGGTAAATATTCAAATAAACAAGTGTTTTCAAGAAATTTTTTTAAAAAAAAAGCGCTGAAAAGAATATTACTGAATTTATGATTTAAAGATCAATAAAAGAAACTGGAAAAAGGTGAAGATATTACAATTAAAATTAATGTTAAAAATTTTGAAAAAAAAAGTTGTAATTTAGACTTAAAATCAAAGCAGAATGAAAAGCTGTAACAAATGATTAGTTAATTTAAAAAAAGGAAAAAAATACTACGACCTTTAGAATTTCATTTTTAAACTTCGAAATTTCTTCTTATTGAAGAAAAAAATGAAATAGGATTTTCACTTTTATTATACAGAATGAAATATTTTGTGCAAAACGCTAACTGCATGATAAATAGCACGAATTTCTGTTGCATTATGCAAGCAGGCGGAAAGATTTTGAGAAATGTAAACATTACAACCATTTAATTTTAAAACGTGGATTTTAAACTTTAAAAAATGTAGAATAGTTTTAACTAAAATAGCAAGACATATTTGATAAATGTTTGGACATAAAATGAAACAAGAAAAATAAAACATTACAACAGCTTAAAAAACTATTTATATGTAATGTAAAACTGAAACATAAACGAAGTATAAATGAATAAATAATTATGAAAAAACAAATTTCATTTTTCTTCGGCTTTAAATTATTATAGCTTCTATTTAAAAAACGAAAGAGGTAAACAATTAGATAAAACTAAAATTAAATAATACATTTAAAATCTTAGTTAAAATTTTCAAAGCATATGAAATTTTTAAATTTTAATACTAAGTGAAAAATAATATAAAACAGAAAATTATAAGAAAAAATGTGATACAAAATTAGAAATTTAAGCACAAATATTTAGCAAAAATGAAGCAAATGAAAATATTTGTGTTAATATCATTGGATAATGTGTTATAAATAATTAATTATGTTTATTTTACGATAATTATTACCTAACCAATGATTTTTGCCGCATTTTTTTCTACCATTTTTATTGGAATTTTGTTGAATGCAAATATTCTGAAATGAAAATGAAATAAACAGAAAGAAGAAAAAATTTCTCATATTTTATTTGCTTATTTTTCAATTTTAATACGTTCAAAATTAATTTGGTTTTTCCTGAAAAAAGGAAAAGGAAATTGCAAAACAAAATTTGAGCAAAAAAAAAAAAACACAAAAATAATAATAAAATATCAAATTTTTTGGAATATGTCGAAATTGATTCAAATAAATTCAATAAAATAATAATTTCTGTAAAAAAGTTTTCTTTTAAAAAATTATTTTCCATAAAAAGGAAAAAAGCCGAATAAGTTGAACAATGCATTCGAAATTTTATTTTTTTGAAAAAAAAAATTTTTTTTTGTTGTTAATGGATTGAATTTTTTAGTAAAAATTACATTCACAATAGTAAAAAATAAAAATTTGATTGTTATTTAAAAGATCAGAAAAAAAAAAGAAATGGGACAACTGCAAATTTCAAGGGCGAAAAGAATATATACATTTATTTACTTATTTGCATACTTAAATAAGTATTTATAAATTTTTTTAAATATCCCTTTTTTAGCACATTATTTCTTTTGATTAATTTAATGTAATCTGAAACTGAATTTGTTTTGGAAATTCGATATTTATTTTGATACTAAGTTAGTCACACATATAAAAAAAAGAATTGGTGAAATTGAAATAATTTAAAAAACTCCAATAATTTCATTACTTTTGCTAAAAAGTTGAAATTTCACCCAAAAATGCACCCATTTATTTCCAAAATATTTGTAAATTTTCGAATTGAAAAAAAATGAATCAATTTTATGCATTTTTCTTTTTCATTCATTAATGAATTAATTAGTTAATAAAAAATTTTTAAAAATTTCAATAAAAATAAGAATTTATTTAGCATTTTGCTTCATTTAAACCTATTCATTTTTTTTTTCAAAACAATCAGTCTTAAACGATAAAAGAATTAATAAATTTGTGGAAAATTATCGATTATTTATACTTTAATCAATTATTAGCTTAGCAGTTTCTATGATGACAAATGGAAAAGAATAGAATAAGTAAAAATTGTTTAATTTGTTCTACAAATTTGAATTTAACAAATTTCTAAAATTTTAACTTTTGTACATTTCTGATAGAAATTAAATTAAATATTGAATTTGATGCAATAATTTAGCAAATCATGTGATTCAAAAACATATACAGTTATTGGTTCATTCGGTCATTTCTTAGCGATGCCTAATTTTAAATTTTAATAAATTTTAACTTTAAATTTAAAAAAATTAAATTTTAAGTTTTAAATTCTAGTTTTTATATTAACAATTACTATTCATTAATTAAATAAATAGCAGTACTTAATAGAGCATAAACATTATATTTTAAAATGGTAAAACGAATTAATACATACGTTATATTTTAAAATTTCATAAGGTGTTAAATTTTTTCAACTCGAGAAATATTTACAAAAAACTTTTATTATTCGAATCGATAATATTATTACAATTATGATTTCCAATATATTCATGTATTTAAATATTGCATTATGTATTAGATCGTATATGGATTATCCATATTTCCTATATTTATTGCACAAATTAAACAAATGATTGCTCATCAAAAAATCATACATATCTCTAATAAATGTCATTTTTACATGCATAGTACGCATGGCTAAATTTACCAAAATTAAATAAATATTATAATAAATGAATATTAAATATTATTATAGGAAATAATATTATAATTCGTATAATATTATTAATATTACAATAAATATTATTATAATGAATGCTACAAGGTCAACTGGTTTATTATCATATTTCTATTTACATTCATCATACATTGGTCAAGGACGATATTTTCTGTGCCATTTTATTACTCTAACAAATAAAACGAAATTATTGCTGAATCGTAAATTGCATGTTTAAATGTTCATATCGTAATATATTTTTGTATTATATATATATAATTATTAAAATTACAACTAAATGTATTCGTTTCATATTGAATTAATTAATGAATTGATTTGTTTTTAATTTATTCCAACTCAAAATGGATCAAATATAATTCATTTTTGTGTAAATAATTTTATAAAATGTATGCAAAATGATATAAAGCTCTAAATGTTAAAAGCTTTGTACTTTAATTTAGCACTTAGTTAAACGTATGCAAATAATGTGTATTATTTATAACTGCTAAATCAATCATTCCTTTTCTTTTCTTTTTTTTTTATTTTTCGTTTTTTGGTTTTTTGTTTTCTTTTTTGTTTTGTTGTTTTCAGTATAAGTAACTCAAATATATATATACATATTTCAGCAACGTTCTTTTTTCATATTGATATTTATAAGCTAAATTGCGAGAAAAATTTGTAATTCGATTTAATTAGTCAATTATCAATTTGATAAAAGAATGAGTTAATTTTTATGATATCAAATAAATAATTTATAATGGGAAGTAAAAATTGTAACTAAAATAATTCCAGAATTAGTTTTGGTTATTACTTAACCGCTTATTTACCATATATTCACTTACTCATTAGTTGCTTGTTTATTTTTTCTTGCATCCTTTTACCCATCTGTTGGTTAACTGTTTATTTGCCAAGCATTGACTTACTCACTTACGGCCTAATTGTTTACTTAATATATATCCAATTTCATTTTAAATTAAAATAACTATTATTGAGTAGAATGAATGAATGAATGAATGAGTGAATAAATGCATAGTTTTGTTATTGTTGTTGGCAATGAGTGAAAGATGCATTTCAGCTATTTTACACT